TATTAACGTACAAGTCATCTAATATGCTATTTGTTTCATCACCCATTCTTCTTTAGTATGGTCAAATATTCTATTGTTTTTTTCTGTTAGCTTACTAATTTTTCCTAGATCTGATACAATAAAATAACATGCAAATCAAATTCATATATATACACAATATACATAATACCATATAGTAATGCTATATATATATAACATATTTATTTTTAAAAAAATCCCATGGCAACGTGCAGGTATGCTTCTAGTATTCTTTAAAATAAAACACAAAGGAGGTAGCTCTCGGCCTGACTTCAACCTTATCACACCGTTCACCTTTATGCACAGTGAGTTTTGTATCTCTGTAGCATCCTTTTTCAACATGTTATTTGTGTTTTTCTTACAGGTTATACCATGTCAGTCATCATATTTGGAAGCCTTAAAAAAAATGATTTGGCCAAGAGTAAGGAAATTGCCATATTTCTTGATTACGACGAGACCCCGCCACCAATATTCTATGACCCTCAAAAGGGATATATATCCTCTGAAATAAATAAACTGAGTTGAAAATAATAATTCCCTATACTTATAATATTCCTTCATCTCATGCAAGCTTTCAATCTACAATCATCAGATGCATCAAGTGTTTCAAAATATTGCTGAGAATTTCAAAACTTCGATTATCAATGTGCGTATGCAACAAAGTATGTTCCATAACTCTCTGGTACGTGAAACGAAATAAACACATGGTGCAATTGTAGAGAACAACATGTTCTGCTGGTAGGTGGTGTTTTAACCACAGGGGCATGTGTCCCCATGTTGATTAGTGCTCTGTAAGAGAGAGACAATATGGATGTGTGCCACTGGGGCATGTGTCCCCATGTTGATTAGTGCTCTGTAAGAGAGAGACAATATGGATGTGTGCACGGGGAGAAGGTCCACACAGCTGAACAATACCGTGGAGATTCTACCAGTTCAACTTGTGAAAGTTGCACTACATTAATGTTTGTGATTTCAGACAAGGTGCATTGGTATTTCGTTAGACGTGCAATGTGGCCTATTATGAGAAGAAGTTGTGCTTCCTACCACTGAGCTTCACCTCTTTAAGGTTCTTCAAGTTGCCAATGCCAACAATTAATGCTCCTCACCCTGTTATTGAAGTTCAATAGAAACGTCACAAGCTTTGCAGCCAGTTCTTGGTCTCCACAACTATTGTACCCCAGTTCGATGCTCTGCAGGTTGGGCAACTTACACAAGGAATCAAGTACCTGGTCCCCAGCAAGCTCGGCATGTTGCATTGTAAAATCCACAAGGTGCTTGAGTGATGAGATCCAATCAGGAAATCAACTCATGGGCGTAGGACACCGGAGGAGTGAAGGCGATGAGGAGACATGGAGACAGTCCAGTGTGAGTTGGAACACTGCAGGTGGAGGGATCGGAGGGCACATGTCTTGGTCAGGGAGGAGCCAAGCGTAGACAAAAACTCCTCTTCAGGCTCCTCGTCCACATAAATATAACACCTACAACTGTTGCAGCTCACTGATCTCTCGGGCAAACTTAACACCGCCTTTGATGAGTTGGACTACATTAATACCGTGGAGATTCTACCAGCTCAACTTGTGAAAGTTGCACTACATTAATGTTTGTAATTTCATACAAGGTGCATTGGTATTTCGTTAGACGTGCAGCGTGGCCTATTATGAGAAGTTGTTGCAACTTTTGATGGACAAAGAGGATGACTTCTCGCCTGTCATTTCAAAGTGCAGTTCCAATTGTATAAAGTTATATATGACAAGAATTTTATATAATCTTCCTCTTAATATAAATAAAAATTATAAAGTTATACTAATAATTCTTTTTGTTGTGAAATGTTAGGGGGGCCATGGCCCTTGCCCACCACCCTTGGCTCTGCCACTGAGATTAGGTATACGCAGCAGGGCAGTATCGTGAGGACAGTTCTCCTACACTTTTTAAGGCATGTATTAGTCAGGCATTTTAGGATGTAAGAGCTCAGTGCCGCTTTAAGAAGGTTGCAGCGGTAGTTTACGATATGTGCAGCCTGTGGATCCCAGACACAAAATTTGTAGATCTGAACTTCAACAGCGTCTCTTTCTTGAGGTACAACACATCTAAAGCTCCAGTTGAGAGCGAGGTTCTTGTAAAGATTGTTGCTGGACTAGTTACCATATTCATCACTTCTTTTTTATACAAAAGGTGTCGGGTTCATAAACCCGGGGTCCCCAATGGACCCGCTTCTCTGCAAAAAAAACTCAACCCAGCAGATGGCATTGCGACAACGCGCACATCCCGGGTCAGCCCAGATACATAATGACAGGCTAGGGCAACGATTCGGTCCCCGACAGGAAGGCCTGGCCAAGGTGGGGACACAGTCCAACTCCGACCTCCTTTTTCGATCAGGGATACGCCGGACCTCTGCTCATGATTCTTCCTCGACCGACACGGTCGGGACCAACTGGGAACGACCGACCGGGGACGCCCGCTCGGTGAGGTCCCAGGGATCAGGCAAAGCAGATAAGGTAAGGCGCTCAAGTCAACTGCAATACCGAGGACCGTACACTGCCATGCCCTACGCACCTTCAGGACGGTGCCACCAGGCCATGCCAGACGGGCACTATGCAACCTTCCAGGTATGTCAGAGTACAAACAGTATTGTAGGCGCCGACGTTTGTCGTAGCAGGCGAACACGGTAGAGCCCGCCACATGCGTCTGACGTAAATAATATTGTGGGCACCGACGACCATCTCATACCCGACAGCGTGGGCAACGAGACTAGGTAGCACACGTATCCATTCTCTCTTTCTCTGACTTGTAAAGCCATCCCCTTCAACAATAAAAGGGGATGCACTCTCCCCTCTCTGGGGGACGTTCTCTCGGCTCTCGAAAGAAAAGAGACTGGACGTTCTCTCTGGCTCTAGACAACCTGAGCACTCGAACAGCTCAACGGTTCTAGAACCCTACAGCTACATAGAGCATACGCTCCAATACTTAGCACACGTTAGAGCACCCATCACTCTCGCCCTTCGGTTTAGAGTCCGACCGAACCGCTAACACCCCCCTTCTCATTCCTACTCGTTTGTAACCCCACAGCAAACTTCGAGCATCGGGGCTCAGGAATAAAGTCACCGACCGACTAAAACTGGACTTAGGGTATGTTGCCTGAACCAGTATAAATCCTGTGTCATTGAGTGCTAGGCCACATCCGATCACAACGTATGACAAAACTACAAATATTTACTTGTTGGTCACTTTTCGCACCGACAAAAGATGTTCTAGAAAAAGCATGATTATCATTAGTCCATATTCGTTTGCCAATAATGATAAGCAAAAATACCGCATTGCCAAGTGAGTCCATATTCGTTTGCCAATAATGATAAGCAAAAATACCGCATTGCCAAGTGAGGCATCCTTTGTTATCGTAAAGATCAAAGAGGTTTAGGTGCAATAGAATCCCCTAATTAAGAATAAATGTCTTCTAAACAAATATAATGGCTATTTAAGTTATCCAATGAACAAGGGACATAGCAAACCTTGCTTAGAAATAAGTATTTGAGTTCAAAGACCATATCATAAGTAGACTAAACCAAATGCTTTGCATTTTGTGGAAAGGTCTATTAAAGTTCAACCATTTTTTGATTGTGGGACTTTCAAAGTAAAAAGATGGCTCCCAACCTAGATTATAGAAAGATACTTTAGTAGTTTATAGATCCTTTAAGGAGTTAAGGAGCAATTCTTTAACCTATATAATGTAGTCAAATATCCTCATGTCATAATCAACTATCTTGAGATAGGTACCATTAGATGGGAAATGATTGCTTGGCAAATCCTAGTAGCAAATATATCCAACATTCATCTAATAAACAAGAACGACATATGCACATGGGACTCAAACATTCATGGACAATTTTTTGGTATGTTGCATGTATCAATATTTGATGAACCAGGGCATTCCTTTCTCACACAAGTATATTTGAAAGTTGAAACTCCCTCTGAAATTAAAAATCTTCCTTCGGTTCCTTCATTGGGAGCTATATTAGAACGAATAATCTAACTAGAGAAATTGGTTAGGTAGCCAAAAGTGTTATTTGTGCTATCCTAATAAAATAATCAGGCATCTTTTCTTTCACTGTCATCATGCAAGATCTATTTGGAGATTTTTTTAGATGGCTAATGAATTAACACTACCAAGATCGATATCTCATATGCTAGGAGGTTGGCTTATTCACATAAGAAATAAGGAGAAAAGAGATATCTTCATTGGTGTGGCTATTTTTTGTTTCACAATTAAGTGTTGTTGCATTGATACTATGTATGAGAAAAGATAAGAGAAAATTACTTATATGGCCTCCAAAAAACTATGCCTTCCTTAGGCTCTTTTTTTTCTGAACTTATCTATAAGGACCAAAAGCAAAAATTCAGAAAAAAGCCATGCAAGGAAGCAATAGTTTCTTGAAGGCCATACAGATATTTTTTTCAAAAGATAATTCTATGCCTTCTACCTTTAGGAGAACTAATTGGTTGCGCTGTTGTGATTTTCAGCATTGTTGCAAGGGGATACCATTTCTTGCCATGTTTCAAATTTAAGTTTGCTGCCATCGACCAAAACTGCCCAAGAATAGATAGAGGAACAAGAAAAGGAATTTTGCTTTTGGTATTTGTCTCTTCATGCATGCTCACAGAACCCATTTTATTCGCTTTCTTTATTCGCTTTCTGTATTGACAATGTGAAGTGGGCCGAATGACATATGCCCAGTGGACCAAAATATCATGAAGGGACGATCTGGGCTACGGCGAGGTCACAGTTCTCGTGATCGTGCAGGTAGGCATGTTCAAAATTGCACGCTGGACTGTTTGGCGGCCCACTTCGTTTATTTGGGCTTATATATTATTATATTTATAGATAAGCCCAACTAAACAAGCACACCCATTTTTTAATGACATTTACGTCGTCTTCATTTTAGAAGTACGGAGCTTCTCTCATCTCAGCTCTCGCTCCCCATCCGTCCATGGCGATGCCGCCGAGCCGTCCGTGGGCGGAGCTGCAGCACGACCTCCTGGTGGCGATCATGACCCGCGTGGGCGCGCCGGACCTGCTCTCCGGCGGCGCCTCCCGCGCCTGCTCTTCGTGGCGGTTCGCGGCGCGGGACCCGCTCGCGTGGCGCCGCGTCGACCTCCGCGATTGGGTCGCCCTCACCTCCGGCCGGCGCGCCGCGAGACCGGGACACTCCAGCTCTAGCGTACCCGTCCATGCAGCGCTCTTCCGCATCCTGGAGGTCGCCGCCAAGTCGGCCGAAGGGCGGATCGAGGCCGTGCTGCTCCCCGAGTTTGCTGATGAGGACCATCTCTTGTTCCTCGCTGACAGGTGAAATTTCTTCTCCCTATCTCTGATCTTGTCTGGCTATTTCCCGTGAGGAAATGCCCGTTGACTTTTCAATTAACGCCCTTATTGATGCTAAAACGTAATTAGGTTATGGTACTATAGGACTAGGAGGCGCTGTTATATTCGTAATTTCGCATCAGATCCTCCCGAATTCGCCTATATCAATATAGCTTTCATCGTAGGTGAATGTGTTTCTTTTTCGTTTCTGTAGATAGGTGCCAGATTCCTGTAAGCTTGCATATGGATGCTTTGCTGATTTTCTTATGAGTTTTTGCGATGTTCATTTGTAATGCGTTATCGCAGAGAAAACATATGTGAATTGTAGTTTCTCTATCTTTATAGCCATAACAATCTGAAAAAGATGGTGAGTACCTGTACCAATTTCTATGTTTATTACATTTAGTTGGAACAGTTGTTTCTTGACATTATGCATTTACCTGATGATATGATACTGACATCGAAGAGATGTAATGATTCCAAGGAATAATGTTGCTTGGTCGTTTGGTCCCAGTGGGTAGAAAATAAAGATCTGGAATTTTCTGCGAAAAGATTTATGGCCCTTTTTTTTTGGGTAACTCATGGTGCAGCTTCTAGCACTGATAGCTTAAGAACAGCCACACTAGTTAATGAACTTGCATTCTGAATGGCCAGTCAAAAGCAATCACAAAATTAGAATAAAAAAGATGTCTAAACTGAAGATTTTTTATGAGAATTTGATAGGCTGTGCATGTGTGGCAATTTGTGGGTTGAAGCTACTATTGCGGCCCTTTTTTCTGTAGTTTTCAAGGTATAGCTTTATGTATGCAGATGAATTTTCTTTAGACTAGAAATCCAGTTGGAGCAAAGTTACCTATCTCAACTTAGTATATATTCATATGGTAGTGCCTTCTGCCTTGTAACCCATGTGCAATTATAACATATGTGTGTTGCACTAGTATCCTACTGCTGTCTGCCCTCTTTTCATAGTCCTTTTTTGTCACACATCCATCACTGTAGTCAAATATATTTGGTCTGCAACCTTCAATCGCACCCCAATATTGTGCATATTCCCTCCTTAAAGCCCAGCCCTTTTGTTATTACCCTGCACTTTGTCACTGTTCTTGATTTTTCTTCTTCTCACGCATTCTTTCGCCCCATTTCTTGCTTTGCCAATTCTCTCCATCTCTTAGACCACCTTAATATATACATGAATATCAAGTTGCATACCTCTTTAGACAACTCTGCAATCTGCATCCGCTTTCCTACTCCTGCCTTTTGCTTGTTTTTCACATGGCTAGCCTTGTCACCCCAGCTTCTCTTCTCAGAACCTTCCCTTGTTTGCCACTAACCAGTTGAAACCAGAGCATTTCAGTTTCAGCATATTCACAGATTGCTTTTTTGTCACCCCATGTCATTTTAAACGTTATAGTAGCAGTTTGGTAGAGTCTTGCTTTACTGCATATCTAATTGTAGCTAAGTGTATGTGTATTACATTGGATAGTAAAAAATAACAGCATGAAAAGGGCATCAGTACGTGTTCATGAATTTGATTGCAGCATGGCTGTTTTGGTATTAGAACATACATCATGTAATGGTGATTCAGTTGTGCAAGTCAGAGAAGGGCACTCTTAGTTTCTATCATGTTATTTTTTTGTAGTTTTTATTATTTGGTTTTGTTCATTATATATTGTGTTTTCTTTCACCATTTGTTACTATTACCTGTAATCCAACATGTATTTATTAGCTTTACATGAATTTACATCGAAGAATAAATATCCTCTAGCACTGGAGATAAAGTTGGACCATATAGATATAGTACTTACGTCATGAAAATTGACACCATTTACAACTCAAGAACTAAAAAACTACATTCAGAAATTTAGCAGCGGTCTAAATAATTACCAGTGACACTTACAGGAATTCAACCAATAGAAAATTGATATAAGACTCATTGGCTCTTTGTGCCTGTCATGTCATGTATGCTATGAACATTGTAAATTTTGATTCGTAGGTACGAGTGCCATCTAATGGGCACGAGTATATGACACACAAGTACCTGTACCTCAACCAGTAACTTTTCACTGAAACATGTATGGTCTATTCATATGAGAAGTATTTCAATCTGACTGTTGTATTGCAGAATATAGATAAAAAGTACGTTAAAAGGGAACAGAGTAGCAAGGTTGAATCGAAAGTACAAAACAGAGGGTTTATGTGGTCTAGTTTACTCCTGCATCATAGCAGACATGTCTAAATGGGTTTCCTTTGATATTTAGGTGTGCAGCTGGATTACTTTTTCAATCATGTACAGATCTAATCTATCTTTTGTTTGGATCAACTAAGATATTACACCGCGCCTCTGCAGTTCTTGGACACTACAAGAAACTTTGGTTATAGATTTCCTTCAGTCATGTTATATAACAAAACTTCCGATGTGTTTCAGTATTGTTAAAATATTTCATAGGGTTATTTGATCAATGCAATGAATGTGCTTAACTGCTTAATTTGCTATAGACGTGCTTTTTGTGTCATTATTTTTTGGTAATTTTGTTCCCAGTGCAAGTTTACAAACTCATTTTATAAATTTTGTTAGAGACAGGCAGGCTGGCAGGTGTGAATGATATTTTCAGACAAAATTTGCAGCAGACGCAAACTTGCAAGACTGATTCCACACTGTTTTTTTCTTCAAATCAATTGTGTTGTTTTGATGCTGTTTTTTTCTTGGCTTTTTGCTTCATTCTGATTGTTATGAATTTTCGTAACAGTCATCATCAGCAGGTGGCAAAATATGCTATTCGTTTCACTTCCACATGGATTTGTTTCCCGAACTGGTTAATAGTTTTTTAAAGGAATCAGCTGTTGGCGTTCCTATGTGACTATGGTTATTTAATGTCTGCGTTAAAGCTAATCCTATTTCTCTCTGTTTTTTCCCTAGGTGTCCAAACCTGCACTATTTCAGCCTTCCTAGCACCTGTATGACTTACGATCAGTTCTGTAAGGCGATAGGTGGACTTCATTCGCTTAAAGGCATGGCAGTGGATGAGACTCTGATAAATTATGATGTCCTCCTGCATGTGCACCAGTGCTGCCCAGACTTTGTGGAGCTGAAGGTGTCTGCACTGTACGTGGATGAAGAGATGGCCTCAGTCATCTGTAACTCTCTTCCTCATCTGAAAAAGCTGGAGATACCAAGTGCCGACATGTCTTCCGCTGCAATAATAAAGTTCCATGATTGCCTAGAGGAGCTCGAGCACCTGGACATCTCAGGTTATGAGACATCAGCCATCTCAAGCTTGGTTCTTGAGAAAGCTTCGCGGCTCAAGGTCTTCCTCTGGAACTCGAAATTCGAGCTTGGGGAGTTCATGGACTGCTCCAACGACTGTAGAGAGCACAACATTAACCCTCAAGAACCCTGCAAGTGCATGATGGAGCACAAGGTCATGGACTGGCTGGCTGGACCTGCACAGGCTTCCTGAACCAAGGGCGTCTTTTTTTTTTTTGTGTGTGTGTGTGTGTGTATTGTTAAGTTATGAGGTTTTTCTGGCTGTAAAATTCGGACCTCTGTCAAATTTGGTGTTTGAGCTGTATGTACAAGCAAATGTGCTACTTAAATTGTTTATTCGAGCGATTCGCTCGAACAGCTCTCGGTAGATGTTATGAGTTGAGCTTGAGCATTACATTAACAACTTTTGAATGTAATAAATCGTTGTAGCAAGTGTCAATGAAACCTCTTTTCTTTACACCAATGAATCGAACATATCCTCACCCTGTTCGCTTATGCTGAAATTTGGTTTATGTTTATGATTATGCTGAAATGTTGTGAGAGGAAAACACTGTTTCGCTTATCCAGCATCTTCCGTTATTATTGTGCGTATTGAAACCCCATGAACTAGGCGTGGAGATATAAAACATCTGTGCCAGTTTGCAAGCGACTTCGCCACGGAATCAAACCAGTTGGATGGTGAGTTATTTCGGCTCTAGAAAGATCGATTCATTTCTTGAGAAGTCTGACACTAGGATACATGTACATTTACACGATTTCCTGAGCCGCATTCTCAAGACTCACCACGCAAACTACATAGCTGACGGAGTACGTGTATATGTGAACTTATTCCACATGAAAAAAAAACACGGGAAATTAGCTAGCAATTGCAATCCTGTATGAATTTTGAAAGTAAGAAACTTTCTTGTGGCGTGATCATACTGAATGCAACACACACAAGAAAACATTGGAAGACATAATGTTATGTTTTCCCAAAAATTCCTGTGGAACAAACTATGCAATATGGATTTCGTAAGATATATGGATGTCTAATTCTTTGTTCAAAGGATCGTATCATATGAAAATATATGATTCAAATCCTAAAATTTTCTTTTGCGCGTGCTACGTTCCCAATTGAACAAGGAACCCTGCTCTAGTCTCATTTCATTGCAAAAGGTTTTCATCAGTCAATGTTTACAACCATACAAGTTTTAGTGCCCTCAGCCCAATTTGTTTTTCTCACTGAAGAAATGCAATCAAAGACTATTCATAAATCGAGCAATGCAAGTAGAACATATGTAGAGGAAAATTTTCTTTTCTTGCAAATCTAGAGATTCCAAGCTTAAATTGCTAATTCAAGTAGAACATATCTAGAGGAAAATTTTCTTTTCTTGCAAATCTAGAGATTCCAAGCTTAAATTGCTAATTCTCAAAAAAAAAAAAAGCTTAAATTGCTGCTTGTGATAAGTTGTATCGCTTCCCATGTTACAGAGCGTAGACAAAAAACGAAGAATTATTCAACAAACAATCAGTGAACTAATGAACCCTAATCATACGTCTCTCCCAGCACCAAATTGAAACCTATTCTATTCTTGTTCGATCGAAGAAGAGACCTTGAGCGACTAGTTAGTCGAAGAAGTCGTCACCGTAGTCGTCGTCATGTCTGCCGTCCAGCGGACTCCACTGGCAGTTGATGCACCGGTAATGGCTCCCGCCGCCGTTGTTGACCCGTGCGCCGCAGACCGGGCACTTGTCCGTGATCTGAAGTGAACTGGGGAATCGGAGGCGTCGAAACCCTCCTCCGCCTGCCCCTCTGCATCGGCTTCGCTTGCTTGGCTTGCTGCGAGTAGGTCGGTGGCATCGGCGCCGCAGGCCTCGGCGTCGGCGGCGGTGCCGGTCTCCGAGCCATCTGCACGACCTGAGGCCGCCGCGGCCTCGGTTGCGGCTCCGGCGCCCTCGGAGTCGGTGGCGTGGCCTGGCGCTGCGGCGGCGGCGCCGCGGTGCCAGGAGGAGGGTGCTTGGCCAAGAGCGCGTGCGAGGCGGCCTGGACGAGCATGAACGCACCGTCGGCCGCGGCGCAGGGGTTCTTGTCGGGGTGCACGAGGAGGCAGAGCCGCCGGTGCTGCTTCCTTATGTCGTCGTGGGTGACGCCGCCGCCACCGGGATTTAGGCCCAGCACGGCGTACCAGTCGGTGGGGCTGCTCCGGGCCGCCGCCGCGTGGACGTCGTAGGCCGCTACGATCTGCGGCGTGCCGGGGAGGTCCGGCGCCAGCCTGACCGCGGACTGCATCCACTGCCTGGCGGCCAAGACGTTGCCGGCGAGGAAGCACTTCTCGGCGAGCGCGTGAGCCTTGCGCGCCTGCTCTTCCTTCTCTTCCTCCTTCGAGTCCGCCATGGCTTCTGACGCGCTGGAACGGTGTTACGAATTGCGAATTTGCGATGTGCCATACGCCGGGTTCGCCGGCCCTAGACATTACCGTCTCTGAATATATAGGCAAGCGTGACTGCGTGAGGTGAGGAAACGAGGTCGCGTTCGAGTCCGAGTCGGTACTCGGTACGGTGCTAGGGGACCCAGCGAAGGACATTTTTTCTCTGATTTTTGAAAGTTAAAATTCCATTGCATATCAGACGAAGTACGGATATGGGTGAAGATTACGCGTTCTAAACATTCGAATACTTGAGCGACATTACATCTTGGTGAATGAGCAAATGTCTGGCAAGAGAGAAGACAAGAGACTGAGATTCTAGCATGTCCCGCCCTTTTTTCAAGTGTGTCAGCTATTCCGTTTTTGCTCTTCCAATCTTGATGACTGAGAGTTTTTTTTTTACTTGATTGGTCACCTACAATTCAGAAAATAGAGGTCCTAGTGTCCAACAACTTGGGTGAGTGCGAGACAGAGGAGGACGATAGCGGGAAGGAGACTCAGATGGAGGAGGAGCTGGACCAGCTGGGTGGGGATAAGAGGGAGGGTGGTGGTGATGGAGGACGACCACGAGCACTTGGAGATTGATTGGAACATACATGTATACATGAGGGGGTGGAGTTCCAGTAGGCTATGCCCACGCCACTGTACAACCTTTACCCAAGATGGCTATTTAGAGGGAGTTTCACACCGTACCCTCACCAGTAAGAGCCCTTCTGGGGCCACTTCGACACGCGGAATATCCATTAGGCCAAGTCGATTGACTGGGCTTGGATCAAGAGCTTCGAGCATGTGGTGGAGATCACCCAGATGTTCTAGGCCGTTGAACTTTGGGAGGTGACTGCAATCAGGTATGACTGGAACAAGACCATCATCCACAAGTTTTATGCTAGTTTGGAGTTTGACTTTGAAGAGGAGACCTTTTGGTGGATGACTGGGAGGCACCGATAGGGGTCCATGTTCAGGCAGTTCGCAGTAGCGATCAACCTAAACTACGGCTTGATGCAAAACATGACTGCCCCCCTAGTCCATCGAGTCACTAGAGGATCAAGAGATTGTGAGGTTCAACTACCCCAGGGAGTTTGAGAAGGAGAGGCGAGGCGTCATGAGGAGGATTCCTACCATGATCATGGGTCTATGAGGTAGAAAATCGCTCCCAAGGCATAGAACCAGGACGTTGTGTTTGCTTCCTTTTACGTGATGGTGGATAGGGTGATGAGGGCTTATCCCATTTTAATGTCATCGTTGTCTCTTGTGCGGATGAACTCGTGGACTCCTATGACTGTGGTTGGCAACGCTACTCAAAGAGGCACGGGTGGTCGGTGGAAGGAGGCATAGGGTGGTGCTAAGGGCACGTCAAATAGGAAACAGGTGATTTGCCGAGTGCTAAAATATTTGTCGAGTGCATTTCATCGGGCACTCGGCAAAAAAGTTGTTTGCCGAGTGCTGCAGAAACCATACTCGGCAAAATAATGGCACTTGGCATACCAAACTCTTCGCCGAGTGCTGAAAAAAGACCACCCGACAAACTAGGAAAAAACACTCGGCAAAACAGAGACACACAGTAAAAAACCACCACGTGGACATCCGTCAGTTAGTGTGCCTGCCGTTAGGAGTTTGTCGAGTGTCCGTTAGTAGCACTCGGCAAAGAAGTAAGTTTGTCGAGTGTTTTACTTTAGCACTCGGCAAAGAAATAATTTTGCCGAGTGTTTTTTTTTTTACTCGGCAAATAAATAAGTTTTTTTTCTCTTCTGACCTTAAAACTTTTTCTACTCTCCACATACAACATGTGGTACTCCATGTTAAGATTTGGTATATTTCTGGATCTATTTGCTATATTTAATTAATTTATTGAATTTCAAGTAATTTTTTGGTATAAGTCAAATTTGAACTGCAAGTGATTCAAATAATAGAATAAAATGAGTAGAAAAATGATATTCATGTTATTGAGTCCGATGTGAGGCCTTACCCGAGAAATAAAAAGAAATTTCGAAGATCTTGTTTAGAAAACACGACCACGAACATGTGGCCGAATGGTTTTTAAATTTTAAAAAAGCAAACGAAGTCTGAAAATCATGAGATTTGTCAAGATCTCATGATATCATACGTGGAGGCCATGATAAAATATTGAGAAGGTTTCACACAATCTGTCACGTACGATGTTTACAAACCGAAGTATCTCAAAAGAACAATTGTAGCGTTGAGAAGGATTCGGTAGGATTTGGAGTCAAAGGGACGGTCGCTATATTTAATTAATTAATTGCATTTCAAGAAATTTTTTGGTATAAGTCAAATTTGAACCGCATGTGATTCAAATAATAAAATAAAATGAGTAGAAAAATGGTATTCATGTTATTGAGTCCGTTGTGAGGCCTTACCCGGGAAATGAAAAGAAATTTTGAACCTCTTGTTCAGGAAACATGACCACGAACGTGTGGACGAATGGTTTTTAAATTTTAAAAAAAGCAAACAAAGTCTGAAAATCATGAGATTGATCTCATGAAATCATACGTGGAGGTTGGGTAAGATTTAGAGTCAAAGTGACGGTCGAATTGGGGATTGACTTCAAAACTTTTTGTATAGGCAATAGAGAACAAAGATTGTTTCATGTGAAATTTTGATAATTTTTTTGGATCCGTTTGATAATTTTAATTTATTAAGTGCAATTATAGAATTTTAATTGATATAAATTGAATTTGAGCTATAACTACATAAAATAATGGAATAATATTCCTATAAAAATCAAATATATATTGTTGAGTGAATTTGCGAAGGTATTTTCAAAGTACATCTAAACAAATTGAGGAAAACGTGTTATGGAAAAGAAGGAAAATGAAAAAAAAGCTTGTCGGCCCTAGATCTGGCACTCGACAAATCTGGGCTTTGCCGAGTGTCAAACCTGGGACACTCGGTAAACCACTTCACCAGGCCCCACACACACGCAGTAGTTTAGGGTTTGAAAATGAAAAAAAAACAAAACGGGTTTGCCGAGTGCTAGATCGCGGGCACTCGGCAAACCTCCCTCGTAACCACCCCCGCCCGCACACACACACACACACTAACACACACAGCCGCGCCCGCACACACACGCCATGCCGCCGCCGTCTCGTGCCTGCACCCCGCCGCCGTCGTCCCGTGCCCGCTCTACGCCATGCCCTCCCATGCTCGCGCCACGCCACGCCACCGCCGGCCCACGCCGGCCTTCCTTGCCCCGCCGCCGCCCCGGGACCCCACCGCCGCCCCCCGGCTCTCCCTAAGCTAGGCCCCTCGCCGACCCCCAGCACGCCCGGCGGCCAGTGCGCTCCCCTCCGGCGCAGGACCCTACCTGCAAGGTTCATCGGCGTTCGTCCTCTTCCTCATCTGTGAATCGACAACACTAGTAGTAGTTATGGCCTAGGAATACAGTGTTCGGGTGCCAAAAGAAAAACCATGCAAATCATCTAGTGATCAGGAGTGCAAATCATATCTAGTGTTTAGGAGCTAGCTAGCCATCGTCTTCTCTTATAGCTGCACATACAATTTAGAATTTAGAGCTTGATAATTCATCTTGATTCTGGTTAGTACTAGCTAGCACTAAGTAATTGGTCAAATGATTAGTCACATTTGTGACTTGTTAACAAGACCATCATACCTCATTCTGATGTACAGTACTTTATTAGGTTCAGATTATTGATGAACCGGACAAACCAATTGAGCCACATTTACTTACTCATCAGAGAACATGATCAGCTGATTATTTCAGCTAGGCTATATATAAATTAACCCCTGGTTTGGTAATAATACTTACATTGCCAGTCAAAGCAGTATAGCAATTGTGTGTTTAATATGCATGCAGTGATCAGTTGGAGTTGAATGTAATCCAAGTCTATTGTCAGGTGTATCTTTCTAGTAGATGGTGCCAAAGAAAAGTTTTGCTACTTTTGCTAAACCAATCATGTCCGTAATTTTGTCTGAAATGCAAGTTGCCAAAGAAAAGTTTTGCTACTTGTGCTAAACCAATCATGTTATAATTTGGTTATAACATGGTTTGTTTTATGTTATAATAGGTTACGCGGCCGCCACTCCCTGCCCCGCCCTGCCACCGCCGTACGCCGCTCTGTGCCTTGCCCTCCCGCCGCCCCACACCATCCTCGACTCATCACTTTGCAGGACAACAAGGTGAGGCATCCTACACCCCTCTTTCCGTATGATGTTCATATATCACGTAACCTAGCTAGGCGTCTCCCATTCGAAAGAGATACGGTTGAAAATATGTAGATCTTTGCATATCTATACCGTATCTATTTTGAATTGTCCACGTTTTTGGATAGCCCGAGTATGTGTAGATGGGGTTAGTTTCCATGCTCTACTCTGATCCGAGATAGAGTTTCAGTAGCATCTCCCTGTTGTTCTCTGGATACACAATCTCCCTGTCAGGACGTGTATTTGGAGAACAACGGGGAGGTGCTGCTGAAATTCTGCCTCGGATAGGAGTAGAGCATGGAAACTAACCCCATCTACACATCCTCGGGTGGGATTATGACCTATCTTCACCTATTAGACCACCACGTAGGAACCTATAGATGCAATTGATTTTTATATTACTTGCTGATATCTTAGAGGATGGATGACCGTGAGTGGATCTACATAGGCTGCTCTAGTCAGGGTTCGTTGACCGATGAATGGATTGAGAAGACCGATGCTTTCTTGGAACTAGCATTTGCAAGGGTTAAAGGAGTGTGTGCCACTTGGTGTCCCTGCAGCATTTGTGCAAACACGCGTCGACAAACAAAGGTGGTCATGGGTAAACATCTTTGTAAGAATGGATTTACGGCAGACTATACCCGGTGTATCTACCATGGTGAATCCAATCATGTGAGAGACGAGGTCGTGAGACAACGCATCTAAGTATTATGATGCTGATGCTGGTGTAGGAGACATGTTAAATGACTATCATGAAGCACACTTCGACGAAGGACGTAGGGAGGAGGAG